GGTCGGGCCCCCGTGAGAGCCTGCCCAGGGGCGCTTTGGCGCTGGAGGCAGCAGAGAGGGGGACCCCCCCCTGCTGCGGGCCCAGCTGCGACCGCGGTCGGCGAGTTCCGGGGACTCCCCAGCGAGAGCGGGGCAGATCCGGTTAGCCACCCGCGCAAGAGTTGCCCGAGAGCGCCTTTTGGAGCAGAGGCGGGCACAGAGTCCTTACAGCCTGAAGGTCTGTGCATTAGGAGGGGCTGAGTAGGGCTCAAGGGATGGCTTGAAGGGCAGCACTGGGAGGCATGCTGAGTAGGGATGAGTAGATGGCTTGAAGGGCAGCATATGGGGCAGTCCCATAACAGTTGAGTGTGTGTATATGTGTTGTGTGTTTTGGTGTATAAAATAGCCTGGTGAGGGGCCAGGGCAAGCTTAGCCCAATGCCTGGTGAATTGGCTGGCCACTACCCAGATGAGGACCGTGGGAGAGGTCCAACAGGCTGCATGTCGCCAGACAAGGAGTGAGTCTGATAAGCCCCATGGCCTACAGGAGCCACTCCAAAATGGAGCAGGGCAGAGCGAAAAGGGCACAGTATCGTGCGGCAGGGGGGGGGGGGGGGGGGGGGGAGGGGGCAGTGTGAGTGTGTGTGCAAGAGGCCTGACAGAGGACTAGGTTTGGCTCGGCTTTAGGCCAGGATTACAGTAACATTCTGGATTCCATCTGCAAGGCATGGGCCATGGTGTAGGGGAAGTATGGAGCTGTGGATAGTGCCCCTGGCATCGGGGCATAGAATGGATTGCCTCCCACATTATACCACCAGTTATGGGAACAGCAAAGTCGTGGCAGGAGAGACTGGGTGGACTTCCCTATGTAGACAAGTGGGCGGGCTGGCTTGAGACCCAGTCCTGAGCTTGTCCCCTGTCACAATACCCATAGTAAAACACAGGCAAAACTACTACTAGATTGTCCCTGACCTCTTCTTGAACACCTCCAGTGTTGGAGAGTCCACAACTTCCCTCGGCAGTCTGTTCCACTGCCTCACTGCTCTAACAGTGAAGAAATTTTTCCTGATATCTAATCTAAACTTTTTAATCTAATCTAAATTTTTCCTGATATCAAGTATTTACTTGAATACAAGCAAGGCTCCCCCTCCCCCACTGGTATGGGGTTGGGGGGGAACCCGTGTCTTATAACTGCATACAAGGAAATCTTACAAAATACATGGTCTATCATTAAACTTCTGCCAAAAGTAGCATGTGCTCACAATGGAGACTAGCTATGAAGTTGATTAAATGCAGCCAACACTGAGCATAACTATAAAACACATGGCCCAGATTGGGCAAACATTCTGGTGGGAACCTACCCCAAGAATAGGTTACTGTAGCCCATCTGAATAAGATGCATGGTAGTGACCATTCAATGTAGTCCACTGACTCTTTTTCATGTCATGGTGAGCCACAACATTACATACCATTTACCCAGAATTCCTCTGTTGACCCCTCTCCCAGCCTGGTGCATATGATTAATTTCATCCCACCCTCCATGAGGTGAAGCCAGATCAGGTTGCCCTGTCCCTCAGCTGCATATAAATTTTTGGAGTATCCCAGGAATTGTGACAAGAACACCAGTCTAGAGTAGGACTAATTAGCCATGTTTAATTTCAAGGTTATTGTTTTTAAATTTACTCCTCACTTCTGTGTGCTCAGGAAGAGCAGGGTCTGACAGTAAGGAGAGGGAAAGGGGCTGCCAGAGGAAAAAGTTGGGGCAAAGCAGAAAGCAAAGGGCTACCTCAATTTATTTTCCATGCTGTAGCAGCAGGGAGGGGGAGACAAATTCAATGTAAACCTCCAATAATTATATTCTATACCTGGAAAATTATAACAAGTTAAAAAATGTTCCATATCTAAAATCCAATTACTGGGTGGGTTGTCTTCTAATCAGGGTAAGCTCCTATTTAAATAAATATGGTACTTTGCTGCCACATCAAGCCACTGGCCCACATCCTGCTCTCTGCAGCAAGAGAGAAAAGGTGTTCTCCCTCTTCTTTATGGCAGCCCTTCAAATATTTGAAGATTTCTATCATGTCCCCTCTTAAACATCTTTTCCACAAGCTGAACTATGCCTAGCTGCAGATTCACTTCATATCACTTGCTTTCCAAGTCCTTTATCATTTTGACACCCACCCCTGGACTCTAACTTCTCCATGTCCTTTATTAAAATGTGGAGCCCCAAACTGCACACAATGCTCTAGGTGAGGACTAACAATTCCCAAGTAGAGAGGCAATACCACCACCTTTGTCTTACACTTAGTGTTTCTACAGATGCTTCCCAAAACTGTATTTGCCTTTTGTGCAGCTGCATCACATTAGGCTCATATTGATTCTGTGACCTAAAAAAAGTTACAGAACAAACCAATTAAAGCCAATAAACCTGATGCTGCTCCTCTAAGATAATTACAATGTTTTTATTTTATTGCTGTTAAGCACATCAGAAGGCAGGACAGATTTGTACCTTATCACATCAACCAAATCATGCAATACAAACTGATTCCATTTGGCCAGTAGATGGTGCTAATGCTATTATATTAGTAATGAAAAGCCTGGCATTGATAGAGCAATAGTTAACAACACAAATGTGTTACTGGAAGACTGTTTTCTTCTCTCATGACTCTTATAAAAGGTGTTCTTGTTCTTGAAGCTCAACAAACATGTCAATGCTTTTACAAGTCTCTATAAATGCAGCACATCTCATAGAAAGGGATTTGGAGGATAAAAAGGAGACTGAGAGAAGAAGGATGCATTCTGCCTAATAAACACCATCTTCCTGTTGGTGTAGTCCTTGTAAATATTAATGTGGATATGATTCATTTAGAAAAGGTTAAAACTACTTTGTCATTCTAAAAGTGCTGGGGAAAGTAGATACAGAGATACTTGAAAAACCAAAGCCATTATAATTACAGATATAATTACAGATAAAGAAAGATGTACAATCCCTATTGAAGGAGAGAGACAGAAAGCCAGTCTAATAACATGTGGTCTACTGTTAAGCAACACAGAAAAACTGGAAACAGAAATTCAAAATAACAACTGCTCTTGTCCCCCTAAGGCTATAAACAGGTGCCAGTTGCAAATGTACTGGTGAACCCAAAATTATCACATGGAGAACTACAGGACAGCTCAGAGAAGATAAACAAGAAGGTATAGAAAGCATTTAAATAAAAGACAAGGGAAAATGTAAAAACCCACAAAATAAACAACAGCTATCATGACCTAAAAACATTAGGAAATCAATCAAGAGCAATATAGGACATTCTTCTAAAACCTGGTTTCCCCAGGGATATCAAAAGGTGTTTTCTATAAAGAGATTTCTATTACAGAACAGGTTTAAATATATACCTAAATGCTTTCCTGAATTGGATTTGGAATGGTTATACTCTATACATAAAATAAAGTAGGAGTTTACGGTTTGAGAACTATAGCTTTGTCCTCAATATTTAGGAATAACATACATACTAAACATATCTTCTATATAACCAGTTTTCAGCATCCCTACACTTAAAAATTTACTGTTGCGTGGTTGCAGACTGAACATCTGTACTGCTCCCTCTCCCAGAATTATTTCTAGCAGTGGAAATTTCTGACTGCTAGAAAGGAGCATTTGTATAAGGCCAGGAATAGCTAAAATGTGAGACCATGCCAAAGCATCCCAAAGTTTGGAACCACCCTCCTCCCAAGTTTTTGTCCTTTCCCAAAGCATGCCAGAGCTATATTTTTCCCAACTGTTTTTGAACATTTGAAAAATATATATTTTCCTTCAAAATTAATTCCTATAAATGGCTGAACTATGATTAGTGAAACTGTTCAAAAACTTCAGGATAAGGCAGAGAGCTAACTTAGGAAATTTCAGTCCAAGCAGGCAATCATTTGAAAACAATACAAAAACCTGAAAACAAGGGAGGTGGGATATGTTTGGCCACTCTGGGCACTTTTACATGTGCTCCGGGGTGGTGTGGAGGTGGGATGGGACAGCGCTTTAATTAGAATGACTCCAAGAACCACTCTAATTAAGGCGTTGCAGCATCTCCTGCAACAGCATCCCCATACTTAAAAATGGCAGTGGGGGTGCTTGAACTAAAGTTCATTTGACAATATGTTTAGTATGTATTTTATTCCTGCTGCCACTTTTAAGCATGGGGACACTGACACAAGAGACTGCTGGAGCATGGTAACTACCACACTCCATCAGACTGAATCAATCGAGTCTGCTCTGACAAGCTGTAATTCCAGCGTGTCAGAACAGCTTCTGCACTCATGTTCAGGTACCCTCTATACCAGATGTCACTACCAGCTATATTAAGTTTTAACATATCAAATGATTTTTCAGCCAAAAGACCAGCTTGACTTTTCTTACTGTTCTAATTCTACTTCAGGATATTTTTCACCACCATCCTTTTTTTTTTTAAGCAACCTGCAATATTCTGTTAATGTTTTAAGTTCCAGTTTTACCTGCATGGGTCTACCATCCTCTTGTCCAATCATATTTCTCCAGTCCTGCAGAGAGCGCTGTAGACTATCAAGTCCTGTCTCCCAAAGTCTGACACTGCCTCCCATGTCCACGGTAACCAAGCCTACTTTGCCCAGTGGTGCCAACAGAACATCTGTGTCTGAAATCTTTGACAGCCATGATGTATATAGTGAAAGAGATCCTGACCTGGAAAACAAAAAACAAGTATTTCTGTAGTTAAGGTAGCAATTTGAAAAACTGTTCTTGAGACCTGACCAAGGCTGCACAATGCTGTATAATAGTTCATTTGATCCAGCGAAATTCAAATTGAGATGAAGACTGGCCCTGGCAAATCCATTATTTTATTCTAAACTGCCTTCATATTAAAAGTGAATAGGACACAAGATACCTATGTAATAATGATAGATGAATAAAAGAAAGCCAGGATAGCTATAGAGATAAATATTTAGCCTAAACAACCTCTATAACCTATCTATATTTGCAAAAGGACAATGGGGAAGGAATATTCAGATCAAACTGGAAGTACAAAATCATTTTCCAGCCCATTTAGGATTGTGTTGGGGATTTTAGTACCCTTGGTGAGAGATTGGCAGGCTATTGCCTGTGAACAGATTTTTTATGGCATGCCAAATATTTTGTATGAAAATGTGCCATCAACTGCTGCCTCCAGAGGACTGAACTGTGTTAATTTAACCTGGGAAACTAACCTTGTTAGTGAAAGTTTGCTTTCCCCTGCTTTTGAGCATTTTCTGGAGAAAAAAGCAACACAGAAAAATTGGAAGGGGGCATTGAACAGAAATTCAGAACAACCACTGCACTTCTCCCCTGACAGTTTATAGCCTAAAGCTATAAACAAGTGGCAGATGCAAATTTATTGGTGAACCAAAACTTATCATACTGGGAACTACAAGGCAGCTCAGAGAAGATAAACAAAAAGGCATGAAAAATTCTACTGATTACAGAAAATATTTAAATAATAGGCAAGGGAAAATAAAAAAACATGAAATAAACAAGAGTTATCATGACTTAAAAACATAGGAAATCCGATAGCAATATAGGACATTCTTCTAAAACCTGGTTTACCCAGGGATATCAAAAGGTGCTTTTTATAAAGAGATTTCCATTATAGAACAGGTTTAAATATATACCTAAACACTTTCCTGAATTGGATTTGGTATGGTTATACTTTATACATAAAATAAAGTAGGATTTTATAGTTTGAGAACAACTATAGCAGTGTCCTCAATATTTAAGAATAAAACACAGACTAAACATATCCTCTATATAACCAGTTTTCATATCATTGGTACTTGAGAGATTTATTGGATCAAGAGTTACTCTAGCTTCTGTTGCAATTTATTTTGTTGTAAGAAACTAGGCTAAATTCTTGTACTAGGTTAATACTCGTGGGTACTGAGTATTTGTTTTGCAGCTCTTTGCAAAATGCCATCTGTGCACAGAAGAATGTTGGTCTCTATTCCTTCTAAATGAATTACTTGTATTTCCAAGTGATTGTATATCAGAGGTCAGCACATGAGTTACAAAAGAGAGGAAGCAGTGGGGAGTTCCAAACAGGGAACGGTTTGTTAAAAAGGGTGTTAAGGTTGAAAAAGGTTTCTGTAGAGTCCAACAAACACACAGACAAAATATTATCTTTCTTTATAGAGATTTTAAATATTTTAAAATGTATAAAGAATGGAAATAAATGCCAGGGGACTCGGTCAGTTCCTCACTGGAATATTAATTTTCATCATTGACCACCTTTGCCCCCAATTTCCACTGGCTACCTGACCAAAAATATGTCCATTTGGTTCATTCTGTAACTACTCTGTGTTGTTAGATACTTTGATTCTATGTATTGTTTATTTAATAAAAAAGTAAGATTTCAAGAGGACAGCAGGCACGGGATGCATTAAGTTGTGTCAAAATTCTTTAAGTGCAATGCACAGAGAGACAAGCATTTCATGAAAAACAAAATTGGACACACTGATCTGCTTGGCATTATGAAATGTGCTACTGATATTGTGGTGCCACAAGTTTGTAATTTCAACTATATTAACTGTATTATGTAACAACTAGGTATAGCCTAGGTATAGGTATAGAGTTTTGTAGTTAATAACAATATAGGCACCCAATAATGTTAAAGGCTACTGGAAGTGGCCCTTTTAAAAGGAAATGGAATTTTATAATCTCCAATTTTGACCTTTGCATACATTAACTTGGTAAAACTAATACTGAAATGAGATACACAGGTAAAATTTTACGGGAAAATATACCTTCTTGGAAGAATTTTTTAAAACAGAGCTTTACGGTGGTAAATCAGCTTCTTGTTATCAACAACACAACTGTCACTGGTCCTTAACAAAAAACAATATTCGTGGAGCCAAAAAATTCTTAATTTTATCCATTAATACAGACTTTGGAAGAAAGAACCAAAATGTACTGTTATGCAGTTATACCTTTGAAACTTATGTTTTGCAATGCCAGATCACCCTGACGAATTTGCTCGGTATAATGACAGGACAAAAGATTCAACTGCAGAATATGTTTGACTGAATACATTTAGACCCTTTAAGTTTTTTGAACCTTGAGACACACAGATGAACAATAATATGTAGATGTTGTTATTCTATACTATAGTTAGAAATGTAGTTGATTCTTTGCATAAGAGACACCATGAAACGCTGTTCTAAAGAATGTTAGTGTTGCAGAAAGCAATTAAGAATTTAAAAATCAGGAAAAATAATTCCACGTGTGCGCTCAGGTGGAATAAAACAATACTCATTTATATCCAAAACGTATTCAACAAATACCTTTAAAAATTACACGGTCTGAGAAAATGGTCTTTTTTTAAACAATTCAATATCAAAGTTCAGACATGTTCCATTCCATGGTTACGGAGAATGAATAAGCTAGGAGACTTTATAAATTATAATTATAATTTAAATATACCTTTATAATTATGATCACTAGCAACCATTCATGAGAAAAAATTGTTTTTTATAACTGACTATACTTGTGGAAGAAATTCATTAATGTAGGCAAGATGGCAGTATGGTGATAGAGGCCATATAAGCTCTTTTTAGGTACTTATGTGGCTAATAATTACTAATGTAGGCATGAAACAATACCCAATATAGTAGAAGTAAGGAACTGCTATTGTCCAGAAAGATAAACAAGGCCAGTTGTTTTTCCATGATTGAACAGAAGGTCTCTATTGGAGCAGGGATAGAAATTCTGAGCATCCGACCACTCCTTACTCTAGAGCAGTAATTCTCAATGTTTTTAGACTCAAGGCACTCCACAAAAAACACTAGTTCTTAGCTTTTACTCATTTTTTTACTATTGAAAATAACAGAGAAATTATTTTGTTGCAAAGAACTCAGAAAGACTGAAGCAAGGCAGAATGCCTTTAACACTAAGGACTTCCTTTTTGAAATCCTTAGGTTTCTCTTGTGAATCATGTTTTTACACATAGAAGAGCAATTATTATATGACACACTACCACACCCTTGAAAGGATCCCAAGGCACCCACCCCAGGTGCTGCAGCATCCTGGTTGAGAATCATTTCTCTGGAGAGACACTAAAAGGAAAAATAGAAGGAACAGACAGGAGAAAGGTAAAAGAAGGAGAGATTATGAAGAAAAAATGGGTGAGAAAGGGACACAGAGAAAAGGGGAAAAGAGAGAGGAAACTTTAAAATCTCAGTGTTTAACTCAAATATTTTCCTGCTTAATAGCTTGTACATAAATGCAACCTATAACAGAAAATATACCATAACAGACTGTGAAGAGTTCTGCATGTCAGAGTAAAAATTATTTTCACAGCATCTGGTAGGTGCAAGGACTGATGTGTCATGCCAAAAGGTAGAATAAAATATTTGCTTTTCTTAAGTGATAATGAATAATAAATAGACTGAAGCTGCTTTAATAATGAAAAGGACATACCTAGGAATAGGGATGTATTTAAGTTTTTTTGAGTTTAGGTCTGTTATTTCCATATACCCAGCTGTTGGTGGAGGAGTGACATCTGCAAATAAATAAAAATGTTAACGAAAACAATTTCATTGATGCACGATAATTACTACATTTGTATTTAGCAGATTAAACATTTCATTGTACAGAATGTATCAGAAAATTATACAATTTCAAAGTAAACAGGATTATAAATTGCAAGCACTGAAGTGTATTATTGTTATCATAATAAGAAATTAGAAAGCTACAATTATAGAGGAACAATGTTTATGTAGAGGATGTCAAAACTATGCACAGAATCTGATTTTAAAAATGTTAATAATGCATTATATTACAATCCCTACCTCACATCTTTTACCTGTCAATTAAGATAATGCACACTTTAGGCCTAAAAAGCAAATGTGATAAGCATTTCAAAAGAGTGCTTAAAAATCCTGAAAATCACTAGGTACATTTTAAGCATGTGCCAAGTGCGGTGTTAAATCATTTTTCCCCTTACTGCCATGCCCAACCATCCAACAAAACACTTACTTTTGTATTTCCCCAGCAGCCAGCCATAAATAGATGGCTAATGAATCTACCAATAATTTTGAGATGTCACCTAATGTATTTTGTATTAAACACTTTAGTTCTTTCCTCTAAGAATTCTGTGGCTGCACAGACTTTTAATAAATGGTTGAGATAAAACTATGCTGTATTTTGTGGATATAAAACATCATTGTCATTAGTAGGACAGAACTCCAAATGTTCTGCTGCAAAGACAAGACTTGAGCTTAAGCATATCCTTCTTAACTGGAGCTTTGTATTCTGTCTATTTACTAAAGCCTAACAGAATTGTACATGTTCAAGTAGACCTAATGTTCAAAGTGGTAGAGAGCAAAAGTATACACAAACATATATGCTAGCTATGACACTGCATGCTACCATACTTATAATGTATATTCTTTGTAAGATTGAAAGTTTGAGCACATAGAGGATAGAAAAAAAAATCACAGAATGAAACATAAGAACACACTGGGAAGATGTGTATTTGTGGGTTACTCAGAGTATTCAAGGGTGGGCAACTGGGGCATGAGCCCTGGACAATGAGCAAAGGGGCAGAAGTGGGGAACATGGAGAGAAAGAGCCAGAATGAAGGCAGCAGGGCCTGAGGCTCTGGCCATAGGAAGTAGAGGCAGTCTCTTCCATGGGAGACCCTGTGTTGCGGTGGGAGGTGTCGGCATGGTAAGCCTCCTGCCCCCTTGTACACCACTTTTTTGACTGTCGAATTAAGGTTTTTACTTGCTCGCTTGGCATACGAATGAGTGATGGTTACCATGTTAACCTTGCAGCTGCTGGCCATGCTCATAGACACCTCTCATCATAGCAATGGTTATTCCCAGCTGGATCAGGGCATAAATCCTACCAGGTTTGCTTCTGACAACATTTCAAATAATTTTTGTTGTATTTGAGAACATGCTGTTTATCTCAGTGAGAGGAAAAAATGTCAATTAGCTTATAACCTTTTTTGGATCACACCAAGGTGGGAGTGGTTGTAAACCCTAGAGAGGACAGGCTCAGAACTCAAAAATGATCTTGCTAAATTGGAAAGTTGGTTTGAAATTGCCAACAAAAAAAAAATCTGTACTTAGTGAAAATAAATGCATAAAAATAAAATGGGGAATAACGGCTAGTAAGCAATCCTACAGAAAAAAAACTGGGGGTTACAGTGGGTCATACATTATATATTTGGCAAGAATGCAATGCTCTTGCAAAAAAGGCAAATCTCGTATGAATGAACAGGAGTGCCATATGATGACAAAGGAGGTAATTATTCCTCTCTCTGCTCTGATGAAGCTTAGCTAGAGCATTCTGTCCAGTTTTGGACACTACACTTACGAAGGATGCAGACAAACTGGAGACAGTCCAGCTGAAATCAACAAGAATTATAAGAGGTTTAGAAAACTTAAGCTAGGAGGGAAGCTTGAAAGAATTGGATTTGTTTAGTTTAGAAAAGGGACTGTGCGGGGACACAACAATAGTCTTCCAATAAGTAAAAAGGTTGCTTTGTAACAACCTTGGTATGGCAGCTAATTATCCTCCTTGTCTCTTGGGGAAAGGTCAAGAAAAGATCAATTTAATTTGATGCAGAGAAAAGTTAAGTTGCATATAAAGAAACGTATTTTAATCATAAAGGCGGTGAAGCATTAGAGCAGACGACCAAATGGAGGCTTTGGAATCTTCTTCAATGGAGTTTTTTAACAACAGGTTTGGTAAAAATCTGTCAGAGACCATGTTGATCATTATCTAACATCAGTATAGGGGTGTGGACTGCATGATCTTTTGAAGTCTCTTCTAGCCCTACACTTCCATGTTTCTATGGATATCCTACTATTTGGCACTCTGGTTGCTGTGCTTCACACCACATTAACCAAGAGTATACAACTATAAGTTATTTTATATTAATATAAAGAATGTGCTAAAAGCCAAAGTCCATATTTGCTGTTGAGTAATTTTACTAATTTATTTATCTTTGCCTTCAGAGTAAATATATGAATATATTTATTTGCTGCAATAAAACACAGCCCCTTGCAAAAACGTTTGGACATAAGACGTTTACTAGGGGATAAACTGCCTTTTAATCCGAAGTAAAGCAAGAGAAGATACACAACAAACTCTATAATGGAGTAAGTCACTCCAATACAGGGTAAAGTTACCCCTCAGAAAGTGATGAATAATGATACCTCATAAAAATACACAGTTGTACCAGTTGTGTCTACACTCTTCTGTTCAGTTTAATGAAAGGATATCTATCTACTTTTTCAATACAATCTGGCTGCCCTTCCATTTAGTGGGCTGGTACTATAAGAGTGCCATGGCAATTGAAAGAGTTGGTCATGTGTCTGTTCCTTACTACAAAATGAATTTACTACAGAGTAAAATCTAAGGTAAATTACTCTTTAGTAATGGAGTCACATGCCCATACTTCGAGTTACTCTCTTGAGACCATAGAATCCAGCTGGTATTCTTTGGAAAAACTATTTACTTTTTTTTTTCTTTTTCCTTAATATAGTTAATAAGAAAATGTATTTTAAAGGGAACCATTTCTTTGCTTCCTGTTGCTGGAACAGCTTTAACAAAATGAATTGTACTGAATTAGTATTTGGTTGAAGTATTTGTTATTTATTAATAGAAACAGAAGCCTGTGTGCCAAAACTGACCTGTTGCCATGGAAGATGGGAAAAGGAAATCTGCACGCCAAATCCCAGTTTCCCTAATTTGGCTTGATACTTAAAGCAGTCTTTTTTATGCATTTCTTTTTATAACAGAAAATTTCAGCACAGTGGCCTGGTGTCAGCATTTTTCAGTATTTCTTTGCATAATGCCAAGATTATATTGACTTTGAATGATTGTTCTATACAATTTCTTCAGTTTCACACAACATAATTTCGCAGAACAAATGGTATGAAAAAGGTACCTTCTGTTTCACAAACAATTTAAAGAAGGTGAATGGCAAGCATGTTATTTGCAAATTTAAAATAACCTATTCATATATTAGAGCTGGTTCAGTTGGTCACAACAAAAGTGTTTTAAACGGTTTGTAAAAAACTAGTATTCTTACAAAAATGAAGAATGAATCAATTAAAAAAATATGTACAAGTATATATAGTTATCTGTTTTTATAACAAGTTATATAAATACTAATCTTCTCAGTGCCACCATCCATTTGTACAATATCATAATGTGATTTTCCTGTGGGGTAGGTATTTACATATAATATCACTTTTCTTTGGGTACATGCCGATGCAAAATGGAAAAGCTTTTGAAATTAAAAAATATTTTGTGGGTCTTCTCACAGCTATAGTTTACTCACTGACACATAGTTCAGCTAAGATGGATACAATTAAAATTTACTCCACCACTATTCGTAAGTGTCTATAAGGTTTGGGAAGAGAAAAAAAAGACACTGGCAATGATCTTAAATCAGTGCTTTTCACTTGGAACGGTCCCAAAACTCTTAATAAACTACATATTACACTTTTCCCACTTCCTAAATGCAACTAGCTGTTCAACAGTGCACAATAGAGTATATAATTTCAGGAGAGAAAATTAACAATGCCATATTCAATTTAACTGAAGGGGATCTCATAAGTGGGCAGAACATATGCCCCATGCTGGAATCTGCTTAGCTCACTAGAGCCATGTTCGTTCTTCTGTTAAAAATGTCTCATGCTTTCCAATGATTGTAATTATCTAGTACCGTATTTACTTGCATACCACACACTGTTTTCTTCAAAATCAGGGTGCCTCTTTTAAGTGGGAAAGTTATTTTTTCTTCACTGGAATAGAAATAGGGAGGAATAGAAGCAAGAAGACAGTGTTCTAATAATTGCCAAGATGGCTGTACTTCTCTGTGGCTCCAGAAAGCAGAAGAGGTAGAGGCAATGCAGGGCTGCAGGCAGTGCAGCCCCATGTAGCACAGGGCCAATCCAACACAGCAAGGGGGTCCACAGGGCAGGACCCAGGGCTAGATTATGGGGCTCTGCATACTTGACACCTGTAGTCTAGTGTTTGATAAAGGTTATGTTAATCCTCTCACAGCACCTAAGGAATTTGCAGTAGCTACGCCTGAGCATTGTAGCTTGTGACTGCTTGCAGCCAGTAGCTGCATCAGTCTATAGCATCATCATGAAGCTAGTGGTGTGGTAACAACATTTTATTATTCACAAGAATTTAGATAAAACATTCTATTTATAGTAAAGAAATGCCAGTTTTGCTACTGTCCCTGAAGGGTCTGGAGCCTAACCTTTTTGCTGTCCTGTCCAAGAAGTATGCTCCCTCACCTAGGGTGCTTCCTGGGATGCCACACTTCCTGGACACCTTATGTTTCCAGAAGGATTTACTCTATGTTATATGTAGTCAGCCATAATTCTGAAAAAATCTTTTTTCCTACATTCTGCCTACCAAAAGAAAAGAGCATGTGTTATTTGAGGGTGTGTGGTATGCAAGAAAATATGGTGTCACCCAGTACATGCATACAACAAAATCTTTTCACCTTAAAAACCTTTACATGTATCCATTGTTTTAGATTTCACTTGGAAGAAAATACTTGTTATCTCCCATTGCTCCCAAAATAGCAAATTGATTCAATACTGACTTAGAAAAAAGCCTCTCCTTTCTGAATTATTCTGCTATTTCTTTGGTGTCTACTTTTTCTCTCAGAGACCAGCTATACAATACTGACCCAGAATGACCCTTTATAGCTTATGAGATCTGACAGAATCATATTCAGACGTGGTACAGCTGCAAGCCATCTAAGCTACCACTGTGTTTTGTTTAACTTAAACATTTTAAAAGATAACTTTTTCACACTGTGAACTTTTTTTCTAGGTAACTTGATATTGCTGAACATTTTTATTCTAAAGTTTCTCTGTCTATCTAGGGCACTTTATTCAGATTAAGATAACAGGTAAATTTAAAACAGGATCACTACCCTGAAAAGTGGATTAAGCTCATTTGGAATAAGGCATTCTTATTCCAGAATGAGTGTCTACAAAGGGAATAGTCAGGAAATAATTAGTAGTCAGTAGTTAAAAAGGAACTTTTAGTCTGGGATAACTTCCTCTCTAGAGAGGTGCTAAGACCTGACATACCAATACCAAAAGGTATTAATAATGCCTTTTGACAATGATCTGCATTAGATATCTTCGAAGGTATTCATTAGATGATTCAACTTTGACTGGCAGACTTGTGGACAGTCTCAAGAAAAAAGCCGGAGAGACTGACATACCAGTATGAGCTTCAGTGCCTACAGCCTGTATATTCCCTATTCCATGGATCATTCCAGTGCTTACATTTATTTTAAACCTAGCAAAGTCTGTGCAGCTCCCTTCATTTCTCTCAAATCCAGCCAGGATTTCAAGTGTTTGCCTTCTGATTCTTTAAAGCACTTTATAAACTTTCAGCATGAGCAGTCTCAAATTAAATCAAGGTCGTCTCCAGTTGGTGTAGCAGAAATGTGTGAATCTCCTACCTTTTGGGTAAATCTCCTTCAAAGGCACGTCTCCAGGTGCTAAAATTCTGACTACCTGATTTGAAGCCAATAAAGCCATGCAATTGATTTGTTTGGGAGCTCCAGTTTTCCTGAGTCCTCCATAGTAAAAGGGATCAGAAGGAGAAGCATGCCTGCTGCCCAAAGAAGATCTTCTCCTCCAGCTGTACACCTCATTGGGAGACTGCAAGAGAGAGAGACACAGGACTTCAGTGAGCAAACAGACACCCCTTTAAATGAAGATTCTCAATGAGCTCCCACTTTTCAGCTGATTGCAGATAAGACAGTGGATATTTCTCATGTCACAACATCACAAGCAGAAAAGTTGGCCACCATCATCAGTAACGGAGCTTCTCCTGATAAGGAGAAAATAGCCTTGTTAAAAAGACTTCAGGTTGGTTTGACTCATTCAGACTTTATGAACAGTGGCATTTCCATTACTAAGGTGAAAATACAACACGGTATGTTTATGTCAACAGGCCATTCAAACAGGAACACAGTTTAAAAAATGGGTTTAACTTAAAAAATGGGGTTAATAAAAACAGTTTCCTCACCCTTATTATTTAACAAAGGGGTAAATGAAAACAGATATTTCAGCATGAAATTTAAAAACTGAAGTCGTCAGCAGCCATTAGGTGTTCATTACATATATCTTTTTCAACATTCAAAACATAACTAACACATGCATAACATGCATATGAAAGAAAAATATCTAATTATATGGCATTTTAAATGCACATCAGATTAAACTGAAAGTACATGTATTTATTTATGAAATTTACCCACTTTAGATTTCAGAATACCAGCCTTTTCTAAAATACATGTCAGTTAATAGTTACATTCTTTAAAGCATCTAAACATACTGTATGAAAAGGTATATGGAATGGTTAGATCAGTGATCCATATCATCTTGTTTCCTATTACCTTGGCTAAATCAAGATGCTTTAGAAGGAAAGTTAGGAATAATACTTCTATGGGTGAAGTTTCTTTCTAATTCTTGGCAGGTAGTGATTGGCTTATGTAATAATCCATAAACTGCGGGTGCAACTGTAATTACAGTATTTTCTCACATACAACACCCCCTCCTTTCCCCCCCCCACAAATAAAACACACACCTTATTTTTGGAAACCACAAGTTAGACTTTTCTAGAGTCATGGCTGATTGTGTGAAATATAGCAAGTCCCCCTGGGAATACAGTGTGCAGGAAGTGTAGCACCCAGAAGACAGTACCAGCTTCCTGGTGCCAGCTGCCTCACCCAGACTGTCTCCTGGAATGCCACATTTCCTAGACACTATATGCTTCCCAGCATATACTGTTTACTCATGTCTCAGAAGGTTAGGCCGCAGCCCCTTGCAGGGGTAGTAGCAAGACTGTTAGTTCTTTACTGTAAGTAGTTAATTATATAACTTCCTGTAAATATAGTATTGTTTCCACATTGCAAGACTCATCAAGATACCATCTAGCTAAGGCTGTGAGAGGGTTAACAGAGGACCCTGCCTTGTTAGCTTGCTGGGGCACATGCAAGCGGCACCCATCTTGGCAGCTGCATGGCATACACAGCATCTCCAGCAAAAAAAACAGCTTCTCTGCTTAATAGGCACACTCCAATTCTTGGAGGGTTAATTCTGGGGGAAAAGATGTGCTGTATGCAGAAAAAAAATAAAAAGAGTATTTATAGTAGAATCCAAACTCTCACTTCAGTCCTAGAAAGTGACGAGCAATAACAGAAAGTTCAATGGGTTAACAATGTTATATGCTATGCTAAAAAGTACGTCTAGTTTTCAATTTTCAATAGGCAGTTTAACTCTACCAGGCAGTTGAAATAAGGTATCCAAAACGAAATCCAGTTTTCATAGACAGGGACATCAACAGTTCATGCAAAGGCATTATTTTCTGGTATTATTCTGTGGAATTTTTCATTATTTTTCTTAAAGCAATCTTGATCACTATTTTAATTATTGCTGTACATTAAGCAAATGTTCACATTAGACTGTCCATAATGATACCTACATCATTATCCTGAGTAATTATACTTAATTTAAAACCTATCAATATATATGAGTAGTAAGACTGAACCTTCTAACTATCATTACCTGCAACTACCATAGATTGTATTTGGGGTGTAGGCTGTAGCTGTGTTGATCTAAGGACATAGGCAGACAAGGTTCTTTGGTTGAATCTGATATCTTTTATTAGACCATCTTAAATAGTTGGGAAACTGTTCACCAAAAGAACCTTGTCTGCCTATAGATTGTATTTGGCCTCCTTTGTGTTGCAATTTCCTATCATTGCAAAGATCCTTCCAAAGATCCCACAGATATTCCTTGAAACTTGTTTATCTTAACTAGGGATGCACATTCTGCAAATATTACCCTTGTTCACTCCTTCTTTCTTATCGATAGGTTAATAACTATTCAGCTTAACCGGTGATGAAATAAATGTTATCAGCATTATTTCTACAATCCATTAATATTGTTATTTACCATAAGATCTGGGAAGCCAACAACAATGGTAGCATAATTATGCTCATCCGAGATCATTCTGTTGGGAGAGCTGATCTTTTGTCCCACAGCCACACTTAGATTTTCTGAAGATAGCTGGTCACTTGATACTGCATGTGGCACACACAATTCTGATGCTATAGAGGGGAGATTAAATGGCAGGCATCAAATCTGGATAAACAGTTATTACTGTTCATTGCTATTCAATTACTATTGTTGTTACTATTTGTAGTCATAATTCCATAGCAACAAAATGAGCAACAAAAGCTTTTTTACTAGAATATATTAAATTTATATCATGTTATTAAGTAGGCAAAGAACAGAAATGCTGATACAATCTGGATTCTGATCTCTTATGCGTCTAAGCATTCCACATGAAAGAGTCCTGTGCTAAAATATGGTAGTAAATGACTGTATAATTAAAGGCCAAATTTAGCATTGGACAGATAACCATAAATTTGACATTTCCTAGTTTTGACTTTTTAACCTTGCAAACTCAATCACCTTCTTGTAACACAGCTTCCACATGTGCAACAGTAACAGCCTCCTACATAGTCAAGTATTACCGGCAAGGTTTCTGTCTGGAACTGTCAATAGAACAGCATACACTGGTGCTTGAACTAGAGGCCTAGCTATATTATCTGGCTGCAGAAGGAACATTTTTTACCAAAGGGGAGGAAAAGTTGCTGGAGGCTTATGTGCTGAGGCTCTGATTAGTGGACGCAAGGCCCATCCCGCACATGTGTGACACTCAGTTTGGTCTAGGACTCTTGCACCCCCACTCTCCAAGGTAGGAGAGCTCCTGCCACAGGTATTACACCAAGAATAAGTAGCAGCTCTGGACACCCTATTTTGTTTCTGGTTGATGATTGGAAAAGCTGGTTCAGTCTCTCTCTCCATTCCAGTCAGGTGGTTGGTAGTGGTCTAGCCTCTTCTGATACCCTTGGAGGTGTCTAAGTGGACAACTGAACCTATGAACTTGGAAGAAGAGGAGAGTGGGACCTCATCCCACTTCCTTATGCCCTCTCTCCCTCTGCTACAGTTGCTTTGGCAACTCCACATCATTCTCAATGTTATTGCTACTGTTGTTATTTTCGTGGCAGCACAAACCTATCCTTGGAATGTTCATCAGTCCTGGAAAATTATGAAAATTGTCATTCTACAGGTGAGAAAAAGAAACTCAATTTTAATCACTTAACATCTGAGGCAAATCTGAATGGGATTCCCTAGGACATAAAACAGCACTTTTTAGCTTTAGATCACAAAATGAACATGAGCCACCAGTGCGATGCTATATCCAGCAAACAACACTCTGACATGCATCAACCGATGCATCACAAGCAAGACTTAGGATGTCATCCTCCAGCTCTACTCAGCATTGATGAGGCCACAGCTGGAGTACTGCATCCAGTTCTGGGTGCCGCACTTCAAGGGGGATATAGAGAAGCTGAGAATAATCCAAAGGAGGGTCACAAGAATGATTAGAGGTCTGGAGAACAGACCATATGAGGAGAGGCTGAAGGACAGGAGAGGGGGCAGGAAGGGGGGGACTTGGTGGCAGCCTTTAAGTATGTAAGGGGAGAACATCAGAGGCTAGGAGAACATCTGTTCACCAAGGCACCCTAAGGGAAGACTAGGAATAATGGTCAGAAACTGATAGAAGATCGCTTCAGATTAGACATAAGGAAAAACTTCTTTACAGTTCATGTGTCCAAAGTATGGAACAGACTCCCCCCAAAGGTGGTACAGGTACCTTCCCTAGAGATCTTCAAAAGATAATTGGATGCACAGCTTGCTGGGGTCATCTCATCTCAGCAGTCTTTCCTGCCTTAGAACAGGGGCGGGGGGAAGGGGGCTGGACCTGATGATCTTGTGAGCTCCCTCCTAGCCCCTAACTTTTACTTTTACTGGATTCCTTCTTGTAGGCCTCGCTGGAGTATGGATTAATATAACAACTGATCAGTTCTTATACAAATTACACATAGGCCCTGCTAACAGTTTAAACTGAAGTAGGCTCCAATAGATATGAAATTAGGCATACCATAAACTTCAGAAATGCTGAAAAAGTAGCCTGTTAGTTTTAAAGACAAACAGATAGACAATGAATTGATAAGACCAGAAGAGAACACCAAAACAAAGATCAGAGTGATCTGGCAAAAAGGTGACCCTATCTGGGAGGAAAGTTGCACTGACTGGTGAAATGCAGGATGTGGATGATGCCACCTGAAGATAGTTTAGTAATGGGTGAGAACTAGGTTTTGTACAACACAAACTTGAAGTCGCTTTGATTAGTATATAAAAAAGGGTCTGGGAACACAATACCATATTTATTTAAATCTAAGACCCAATCAACATGGGGGAAAAAAGCTTTGTCTTAGATCTGAGTACCAAGCCAGAGATGGCAGCAACTCAGCTCCAGCCCCCAGTCCCAGGACCAAAGCCAGGGTTGAAGAACAAGGGGTAGGCACTGCAGGAGGGTAAATGGCAGGCTGGGGGAGAGATAGGAGGGGCAAGGGGTGGGGGTTTGGTCTCTTACCCCTCCTGCTGCTTTCCCCACCACAGCAAAGGGGGGTGGGGTATGAACCTGAAATAACTGGATTCTATACTAATGGAAAATTATAAATTTGTTGTAATTGTCCATGTATAGAATCTCATAATAGGAGAGTCATTTTAAATTCAAAGTCATCTTGGCTTTGGGTAAATGTGGTCCTTTGTACTGGACTTAAAGGTTACAGTCTTCCTGTACCATGCCTGGAAATGACACAGCAGGCACCATCGACCATGGTCCTAGGTATTAGTGTCTTGGCTTATTTGTAGACAATAGGCTTGGCCAAGCTTTTTGTCACACAGAAGCAAAACCTGTGGTGTCTTTCTTGTAACAATGAGGTGGTTAGGGTCAGGCCATCCAAAAAGAGGGAGCCTGACATGACTTAACCCCTGCGTAGCACTAATATAGACAAATAACAATATGAGCAAAGTCCAGCCTGGGAACACTGGTGACGCCCTGGAATCCTACACCTCTCCTGAAGGAACCAAACAATCAAAGTTGAGACTTCAAAGAAAAGGTTTGAAGAATGGTTTATATCGGACTGTCTGCCTATCTGTATAGATCTCAACATTTCTGAGATGTTTAATTCAAAATTCTATGTCCGTATTTGGAACTTGCCAGCTTTTGTAAAACAAAGTTACGAATCACATACTACAGAAGAAAAAGTCAGGTGTGAAATTACCCAGACTACTAAAATATAAAAGTCTTGTTTGTACAGGTGCAAACGCAGATACGATTAAAAAAAAAGATGCAGATTTGCATTTAGTACCTGCTGTTAAACCAAATCCTGTGTCAACTGGTTCGTCACTCAACACATGCAGCTGACAAACTCCACTCTCTTCAGATTCCATATGCACTTGCTTGGTTAAAAGAAATTTCCTGTAAATAATATCGACTTATAGTAATTCATTATTAAAAATGGTGCAACTGCAGATGAAAATCTTTAGTTCCCTTTCATAAATAGTGGAACTACATTTACGTGTCTACATTATCAATGTGGCTTTGCTTAAAATTAAATAAGCCCCAGCACGCACCTGTGATTAAAGTGGCCAGAGGTAGATTTGCCTTTGGTTACTATTTATACACTTTTATTTACTCTGAGAGAAAATAAAATAAAAATGATAAAGCAGAGTATTATTTGTTCCATTAACCTGTGAAGTCAAGCAACTTGGAAACTAGATCAATTAACCACATTTTCAAAATTGCACACACTAATATTTTAATTAAATTAATTTATGCAAATATAGACACCAGCTATATAAAACAAGTAACCCTGTGGACTTGGATACATTTGGTGTATACTTTCAGAGGCTCATTTAATGTAGGCTCATCTTACAAATTCCCGACTCTAGACACATAAGTGTTCTTTGTGTATGGGTAAATCTGCACAATTAATCACCTGGACTTTGCAGCCAGGTACAGATATTACACTTTTACTGGTATAAGTGATCGGAAACTTGTTTATAACCATGACAGAACAGAAGTTTGGCACCCAAAACGGGTCTATACTTGTAACTGAACAGAAGTTCAGCACACACAGACTGGTTTAAAAATGATGAAACCCAGTCTAAAATTTGCACCCCCCACCAAAGGATGAATGTGTGTTCTGTTTGTTACTGATCTAAGCTACACCACTTACAGAAAACTGCATAACTTTACTTGATTTTGCGTTGGGCTTTTTGAATGTCTGTACCCAGCCTGCATGTCTAACCATTCATTCAAGCCAATAAGTAATTCCTATGTGCACATTAGGCATCTATGCCCACAAATACTGATATGAAGCTACAAATACTACTGAATATTTCCATTTGATTTGCATTTGGACACTGTTATAGCACAATGGGATTCTGGCCCATGACCAATGATGTCAGAGACTACTGTAATACAAACACTCAATGTTATTAATGGAAATAAACTCTATTTAACTAACTGATTTGTATTGTTTTCCACCACAAGCCAACGATCTTCAGCCACTAGGAAAACAGATTTGAGATTGATAGGTAGCGAGATGGTATGAGTCTGACCCTCCAGTACATCCAGCACAGTAAGATGGTTTCTGTGAAATATAGGTCAAGAAAATAAAAATTAGGCAGAGAATGCACATGATCAGATTTTATTTTTAAGTAAAAACAGATAGAGTTAATTCTTACCCTCCTTCTTTGTAGAACACCAGCCAGTTTTTATGTGAAAACTCTCTGCACATTTTGTGATTGCTCTAAAACAGTTCATCAAAGAACAATTACAACTTGTCAAATCAGTCCCAATGGTTTACCCTCTACCTTAGGTTTAGTCATGCTTTTGTCTGATTAAACTGTAATATACAATACACACACCCAAGCACACTGCCATATATATAATATACAATGAAGAATACAATATACTTGGCCAACATTATCAAAAACAAGCACCTAAATCTGGAGTCCACAAATCCATGTTTTAGCACCTAAACAAGTGGCCTGATTTTCAAGAATGCAGAACAATAAGCAGCTCCCATGGAAGTCATTTCTTTTAAATATATATCTTACGCTATTAATTTTATCTTTGGGCATCTACCCACCAAGTCCAGAATCATATATCATAGTTACTTGAATCTAAAGTAAGGGTCTTTTTTCTCCATTCAACATGTGGGAGAAACCCTTTGTCTCGGATTTGAGTATAAGGGCAGGTGACTGCTATAGCTGCAACTATGACTGTGGCCCTGGCCCAGACTTGGGATTGAAGCTGCAGCTGCTGCCCCCTGCCATCTTCCCCATGCCACCTCTCCCCCACACCTCTGCTATGCAGGTCCCTGTTCCACCTGCTTCTCATTACCTCCCCTTGGCACCTCTGTTCCCCTGCCTCCCCCTACTGCCTCTGCATCCTGCTGGCACTTACCCTCTGTAATGGCAGGAGGCAGTGAGCATAGACACAGTGGGCGGGAAGCTGGCAGCAGCTGTTGGGGGTGTATGCATGGCAAGTGGTGGGGAGGACAGGTGGCAGAGGTCAGGTTGCTTGATTTCCCTGCCACCTGTCCCCTCTATCTGCCCCCCTGCAACAGTTGGGGGGGCAAATTTAAGATGACCCTCCAATTATTAGATTCTAATTTTAAATTTTCCATATACAGAAACTAAATTTTGGGGGGTCATCTTAAATTTGAAGTTGTCCTGGATTTGGGTAGAAAAAGTAATTACTTCACTTGATCTTGGCTAAAGGGGTACATAACAGCTCACTCTATTCGTGACTCAACAGACCCCTCCAAACTTCTGTCATTTGAAACAGCCTCTTCCTTCTAGATATACAACTGAAATATTTTTTGTAAAGAAATATGTATTCCTAGACAACACCCCTTATTTACTGTACTTGTATTCCATAAATATGATATATTAGGTTTGCACAAAACTAAGAATTAAAATAAAGTGATGAATGTCGGTTGGTGGGTCAAGAGAGGCTATAACAGAAAATATCCTACTATCATGTTTTGACAGCTTTGAGCAGCATGGCAAGTTGGGCATAGTCCACCAGAAAGATGCTCTTTCTCACCAGTTCTTCCTTGTTGCCCCACCAGGACATTCTCTTAGGAGCTTCTTCAGCTTCTGGTGAGAATAAAAGTCGACGAATGGTCCCATTGTTTGTATCCAGCAACAAGACTACATTACTCTGTAAACAGAAAGCAGAACTTAGTACGCAAGTCATATTATAAAAGCTTGTAGCTTTGGGTCTATATGAAATGCCTCTGCCTGCAACTACTTGAACCCAATATTGAATTTAATTTAGAAAATATAAAATGGGTTTTAATTTGCTGGTCAATTACAGATGGGACTAGCATATTGCCCGTCAAGAATGACGGGGAGGCCGGCAGGGCCGGAGCCCAAGGTCCGGCCCTATGCCCCCATTCCTCCCATCCATGTCGGGCCCTGCCCTCCCTCCCCGCTTTGGTCCCAACACCATTCCCCCTGGCAGTTCAGGTCCGGGTCTGGGTCTGCCCCCCCCCCGCCACCACCTCCTGCTGCGGCGGGCCCAACCCCGTTCTCCCCACCACTGCTGCGGGCCCTACCCTGTCCCATCTCCTCTGCTGTGGTGGCTGACAGTTCCCCTCCCCCCCCACAGCAGGCCTGACCCCGTTCCCCCTCCAGGCCACTCCCCACTGCAGCGGGTCAAAGCCCAGTTACCCCCCTCAGGCCGTTGCTGCCGTTGTCTCCAAGGAGCAGGCCCAGGGGGTGGGGTGCTGGCCTTGCCCCCCCAGCTGCGTCCCCTCTGTCCCTGCTGTCATGGCAGTGCATTGAATGCTATTGAAGCACTCTGATTAGCTGCCAAAACAACCAATCAGACTGCAGATAAAGTATTATGGACAGACAGACTAAGGCTTTTATATATATAGAATTGTCTTGCCACACTGCCCTCAATACAGACTAGGGTGGCCACTGATGCATCCCCAGAATATAGGACATCCCATTGGTGAGAGGTGGACCCCTTGGCCAATCAGCAGTGAAGGGTGGGACCACTGCCTCCTCAGCCAATCAGCAGCAAGGGCAGGGCCACCACAAAAAGGTTCTCCCCTTCCCTGGCTGGGAACCTTGCTCCTCCTGGCTATGCACTACTCTACCTCTAGGCACAGCCAATAGAATCGTGAGGACAAATGACTGACATGTATTTCTACCAATGAACTGAAAAACAAGACTTTTTGCAGTCAGTTCCTCATTTAGGAATGACAAAAGGTTTTAAAAACGGTCATTTAAAAACAGGACAGTCTGGTATAAAAACAGGATGATCTGTAATAAAAGGACTAATGGTCACCCTACTAAAGACTGAAGGAGAGCAAAAGCCCAGCTTCACTGTCAATGGTGGATGGAGGTAATTGGGAACATATTTTAAACATCCATTGTATTTTATTTTATACTGAAAAAGAAACCAAAATGGTTTAATAGTACAATGTACATTAACATTTATATTATACATTTAAGATTATAACATATATGATATAATTTACATTATACATTTAAGGCTAATGTTAATTTACTGTGGCCTAATATGATTTATGTACAGAGGGTGTAAACCATCTACAGCAGGTATTTTCAGTTCCTTGTAAGGAATAATGTTCTGCTTCTTCTGTCTTACTAGGAGACCTGGTTGTAACTTTCATGTTTTCTAAATGTATTATTCTAGAGTGGTGGACAAACCTTCTCCAGAATATTTAAGGTTATACTGAGGTTAAAAACTGGATGAATGAAAAAGAATAAGCTAACACTTGAAATTACTGCATGCACCTCTGGCAGTATCCCTTTAAAGATTTCTTTTTAAAAGGGACTAAAAAGTTGTTCATAATGTTGTAAACTTATGGACTCGAGAGAGCAATCAAGGACTTAAGAAAACAAATCACACAGCCAATCTTAACTGCTCTAAATTAAATTTAAAATCTACAAAAGAACAACTTAATTAAATCTTGCATTTTGTTACTTGATGGATGTCTTGGATCAAAATCTTTGTCGTCATTCAGCAAAATGTTAGGTTCATCAAGGACATTAGGTTGTCCAAGGATACATCTGTATGTCTAACATCTGGAGTAACGTGCAATGGATGATAAGTTTTAGAACATAAAGTCTACAAAATTCTCCTACATAAAATACGTACAAGCTCAATCTGAGTCAGAGTTTTTGCTGCTTTATACTTCAGGATTGTTATTTTAGGGGAATTAACTTTTCTTTTTCTGAGAGCCTTCTGCAGCTAAATATGGTAAAGCATTTAAAATATTACTATGAGATTTGCAGCATTTGGAAAATTCAGCTAGAGTTCAACAATTCTTCTAAAAAAAGAATTTGTAAATGCGAGTAATATTTCAACTGTGAAATTACAGAATATGGCTCAGAAACAAAATTGGAGGGTTTCTTTTAGATTCTGGTTTTCTGCCATATTCTATTTACCTAATTCTGCAACAGCATTGTTGATCTGAAGAAATACATTACCGTCCCACATGAGATAAAGAACACATATGAATCAATTACAGTCTTTCACTTAGCATTAAGTTTATGAGAGCAGTTGGCAGCATAAAAATCCTCTCTACTCCACCCCTTTTGATGTTAATGGTTTCCTTCTGTGCTAAGTGACTGATGGTATATTCTGTCTGTGTTTAATAATAGAATTTTGCGTCACTTGGGGACACATCCAAATGCATTTTTGGCAATTATTCAAGTAGGTTCGGAAAAGATGCTGGTGTGCAATTGCGTTATGTTTGTTCTTGACTGGGAGAAAAGTAACCTTTGGGTGACCTCACAACCCTGATGTCTGGAATTCCAAACTTTGGACAGATGTAATAACCAAATCTCAAGAGGTGGTGTTCATTTATTTTTAGTAAGTGCAAAGTTTCCCTTTCCTTACTGCTGTTTTCATTTCAGCTAGTATTTTCCTCTTCAAAGTCTTGAAACCGAAATAGGTTTGTGATTTCACTTTGCTGGTAGGGGAAGTTCGTTCTCATTGCTTTTGTAGATACAATGGAGAACAAGAGGAAGGGATAGAATTCAGCTTTGGGAGAGGAAAGAAACAAACATTTCAGGATTTAACAAACAAATGTTTCCTCATTTCTAATTATCCGTGTTGCCCAAAACCAAGTTTCTCCTTATTTAGCCTTTAAACCCATAGTCAGTTTTGTGTATCCCACCCACATATATAATTTTCACCAGTTTTTTTTTTTTTACTTGTCGTTTAGGCCTGCATCCCCTCTAAACATTATATAATCATGAATACATAAACTTTCCTCTCTGTTCAGTTCCAGTTATGCTCTTTGGCCTTTGTCGAGTTTTCTTCTCTCTACAGTGTCAGCTCCAAATGCCTCCTCTCTCCCAGGCAGCCTCTTTTAGCAATTCTACATACAGACCTATTCATTAGCTGACAAGCATTTAGCAACCCTGTAATTGTATATCAGGCAGAACAAAAAGGTAGGGGTCAAAAGGTATGCGTTGCTCTTTAGATTCAGGTGAAAGGAGTCTGTGAGGCACATCTGTAGGTTCTGGCTTCTAACCTGGCTGACCTCCCCACTGGGGAGAAAGTGTAAAATGGATATTATGATAATTATCATAATATAGGCTTCTGGACAAAGGCTACAAAGACAAACTGAAAATTTCAATGTTTGATCTCGCAAACTTAATGCAATTTTAAAGCAGCTTTTTCTTTTCTCTTTCTTTTAAGATAAAGTGTAAAGATCTTGCTACATTTCTACCTTTTAGAATAATCATTGCATTTTTATGGAGGCAAGGATTCTATGTAGGTCAAACATCATCTTAAAAAAGGGACAAGTAAGATACTACATAGAAAAAAAATAGATGTTTCCAACTCAGCTGGGCCTGATGAACTCCACCCCAGAGTATTTATCTTGCTTTAGTGAGTTCCTTAGGAGTCTCTGATAATTATTTTTTAGAACCTGCAAAAGGGCAAACACAATGCACATCTTGAAAAAGGAGAATGCATTGAATTATGGATCTGGAAAGATACTGGTACAAATAGTCAAAACCTGTTTGTAAGCACCTAGAAGAGGTAACCAGCTGACAGGGATTTGTTAAGAATAAGCCATGTCAAGCCAAGGTAATATCCTTTTATGCTGGGTTATTAGGCCTTGTGGAAAGGGGAGAACGAGTAAATGTGATATACCTTGTCTTTACTAAGGCTTTTGATACCATCTTACACAGCATCCTCTTATACAGACTAAGGAAATATGGCCACCAGGAAGCTACAGTAAGGCAGGTACACACCTGATTGGAAAAATATACTATAAAAGTATATTGGAAGGATGTATCCTTTGCAGGGATCCTGGGTCTGGTATTATTCACATTTTTTCAGTGAGTTAGCTAATGAGATTTAGAGAACTTTTATTAAATTTGAAACAATACCAAACTGGGAAGGGTGACTCTTACTGAGAAGGACAGGATTATAATTCAAAATGATTTTGACAAACTGGAGAGATAAACAGGATGAAATTCAACACGGACAAATAACAATAAGGATTTTTCCCCCTTCATTAAGGTTTTGTTAGCTTTTTTCCTTTCCCCTGAAGTATTGGACATTGGCCATGGCTAAAACTGGGAGCTCTGACTGGGGTGCTGATGCTCCCACTGCACTTTGAAACCTCACAGGAACCTGGTTCTTACTGTTCTGCTTATGGTTAAACCGACTGTTAAATATGGGGTCAGGAAGGACTTTTCCATGCAAGTTCAAATTGGTAAAGACTGTGGGGATTTTTTCTTTCCTCTATAGCATGAAACAGAGCCCTCTTTCTAGGATTCTCTGAGAGTATATATTAAGCAACTGCCTGTCTACTAAAGTAGGTAGGCATTGGTAATGCCCTCATAACTTTGTTTTTTTATATGTGATTTTCTGTGGGATCTTGTTCTTTCTGGTTTTGTACCTCATAGTTGCATATAAGATTTTGACATGGATGGCTTTTAAGAATCCTTGGGTAAAGTGTTACCTGAAAATTCTGGAGACAGGATTCAATGGCCCGGGAGGCCTCTTCCCAGTTCTGTGCTCCTAAGTGCAAAGTATTACACTTAGGTGGGAATAATTAAATGCACAAACATAAAACAATGAATGATTGGCTAGCTAGAAGCCCTGCAGAGAAGGACATGGGGGTTACAACTGATCAAAAATTGAACAAGTCAACAATATTATAT